TAAAGCATGAATTGGTTCATATTTTAAAATGGCCATAACTCCTTAAATATTGAGTTTTCGGCGTTTTTAGTTATTATTTGTGATCACTTTTTAAGTCTTGAATTATTAAATATTTTAAAATGGCCATAACTCCTTAAATATTGAGTTTTCGGCGTTTTTAGCTATTATTTGTGATCACTTTTTAAACCATGAATTATTAAATATTTTAAAATGGCCATAACTCCTTAAATATTGAGTTTTCGGCGTTTTTAGCTATTATTTGAGATCACTTTTTAAAGCATGAATTGGTTCATATTTTAAAATGGCCATAACTCCTTAAATATTGAGTTTTCGACGTTTTTAGCTATTATTTGTGATCACTTTTTAAACCATGAATTATTAAATATTTTAAAATGGCCATAACTCCTTAAATATTGAGTTTTCGGCGTTTTTAGCTATTATTTGTGATCACTTTTTAAAGCATGAATTGGTTCATATTTTAAAATGGCCATAACTCCTTAAATATTGAGTTTTCGGCGTTTTTAGTTATTATTTGTGATCACTTTTTAAGTCTTGAATTAATAAATATTTTAAAATGGCCATAACTCATTAAATATTGAGTTTTCGGCGTTTTTAGCTATTATTTGTGATCGCTTTTTAAAACATGAATTATTAAATATTTTAAAATGGCCATAACTCCTTAAATATTGAGTTTTCGGCGTTTTTAGCTATTATTTGTGATCACTTTTTAAAGCATGAATTGGTTCATATTTTAAAATGGCCATAACTCCTTAAATATTGAGTTTTCGGCGTTTTTAGCTATTATTTGTGATCACTTTTTAAAGCATGAATTGGTTCATATTTTAAAATGGCCATAACTCCTTAAATATTGAGTTTTCGGCGTTTTTAGTTATTATTTGTGATCACTTTTTAAGTCTTGAATTAATAAATATTTTAAAATGGCCATAACTCATTAAATATTGAGTTTTCGGCGTTTTTAGCTATTATTTGTGATCGCTTTTTAAAACATGAATTATTAAATATTTTAAAATGGCCATAACTCCTTAAATATTGAGTTTTCGGCGTTTTTAGCTATTATTTGTGATCACTTTTTAAAGCATGAATTGGTTCATATTTTAAAATGGCCATAACTCCTTAAATATTGAGTTTTCGGCGTTTTTAGCTATTATTTGTGATCAGCATGAATTATTAAATATTTTAAAATGGCCATAACTCCTTAAATATTGAGTTTTCGGCGTTTTTAGCTATTATTTGTGATCACTTTTTAAAGCATGAATTGGTTCATATTTTAAAATGGCCATAACTCCTTAAATATTGAGTTTTCGGCGTTTTTAGCTATTATTTGTGATCACTTTTTAAGTCTTGAATTATTAAATATTTTAAAATGGCCATAACTCCTTAAATATTGAGTTTTCGGCGTTTTTAGCTATTATTTGTGATCACTTTTTAAAGCATGAATTGGTTCATATTTTAAAATGGCCATAACTCCTTAAATATTGAGTTTTCGGCGTTTTTAGCTATTATTTGTGATCACTTTTTAAGTCTTGAATTATTAAATATTTTAAAATGGTCATAACTCCTTAAATATTGAGTTTTCGGAGTTTTTAACTATTATTTGTGATCACTTTTTAAAGCATGAATTATTAAATATTTTAAAATGGCCATAACTCCTTAAATATTGAGTTTTCGGCATTTTTAGCTATTATTTGTGATCACTTTTTAAAGCATGAATTATTAAATATTTTAAAATGGCCATAACTCCTTAAATATTGAGTTTTCGGCATTTTTAGCTATTATTTGTGATCACTTTTTAAAGCATGAATTATTAAATATTTTAAAATGGCCATAACTCCTTAAATATTGAGTTTTCGGCGTTTTTAGCTATTATTTGTGATCACTTTTTAAAGCATGAATTGGTTTATATTTTAAAATGGCCATAACTCCTTAAATATTGAGTTTTCGACGTTTTTAGCTATTATTTGTGATCACTTTTTAAGTCATGAATTGGTTCATATTTTAAATGGCCATAACGCCATAAATCTTGAGTTTTCGGCGTTTTTAGCTATTATTTGTGATCACTTTTCAAAGCATGAATTATTAAATATTTTAAAATGGCCATAACTTCTTAAATATTGAGTTTTCGGCATTTTTAGCTATTATTTGTGATCACTTTTTAAAGCATTAATTATTAAATATTTTAAAATGCCCATAACTCCTTAGATATTGAATTTTCGGCGTTTTTAGCTATTATTTGTGATCACTTTTCAAAGCATGGATTATTAAATATTTTAAAATGGCCATAACTCCTTAAATATTGAGTTTTCGGCGTTTTTAGCTATTATTTGTGATCACTTTTTAAAGCATGAATTGGTTCATATTTTAAAATGGCCATAACTCCTTAAATATTGAGTTCTCCGCGTTTTTAGCTATTATTTGTGATCACTTTTTAAAGCATGAATTGGTTCATATTTTAAAATGGCCATAACTCCTTAAATATTGAGTTCTCCGCGTTTTTAGCTATTATTTGTGATCACTTTTTAAGGCATAAATTGATTCATATTTTAAAATGGCCATAACTCCTTAAGTATTGAGTTTTCGGCGTTTTTAGCTATTATTTGTGATCACTTTTTAAGGCATAAATTGATTCATATTTTAAAATGGCCATAACTCCTTAAATATTGAGTTTTCGACGTTTTTAGCTATTATTTGTGATCACTTTTTAAACCATGAATTATTAAATATTTTAAAATGGCCATAACTCCTTAAATATTGAGTTTTCGGCGTTTTTAGCTATTATTTGTGATCACTTTTTAAAGCATGAATTGGTTCATATTTTAAAATGGCCATAACTCCTTAAATATTGAGTTTTCGGCGTTTTTAGCTATTATTTGTGATCGCTTTTTAAAACATGAATTATTAAATATTTTAAAATGGCCATAACTCCTTAAATATTGAGTTTTCGGCGTTTTTAGCTATTATTTGTGATCACTTTTTAAAGCATGAATTGGTTCATATTTTAAAATGGCCATAACTCCTTAAATATTGAGTTTTCGGCGTTTTTAGCTATTATTTGTGATCACTTTTTAAGTCTTGAATTATTAAATATTTTAAAATGGCCATAACTCCTTAAATATTGAGTTTTCGGCGTTTTTAGCTATTATTTGTGATCACTTTTTAAAGCATGAATTGGTTCATATTTTAAAATGGCCATAACTCCTTAAATATTGAGTTTTCGGCGTTTTTAGCTATTATTTGTGATCACTTTTTAAGTCTTGAATTATTAAATATTTTAAAATGGTCATAACTCCTTAAATATTGAGTTTTCGGAGTTTTTAACTATTATTTGTGATCACTTTTTAAAGCATGAATTATTAAATATTTTAAAATGGCCATAACTCCTTAAATATTGAGTTTTCGGCATTTTTAGCTATTATTTGTGATCACTTTTTAAAGCATGAATTATTAAATATTTTAAAATGGCCATAACTCCTTAAATATTGAGTTTTCGGCATTTTTAGCTATTATTTGTGATCACTTTTTAAAGCATGAATTATTAAATATTTTAAAATGGCCATAACTCCTTAAATATTGAGTTTTCGGCGTTTTTAGCTATTATTTGTGATCACTTTTTAAAGCATGAATTGGTTTATATTTTAAAATGGCCATAACTCCTTAAATATTGAGTTTTCGACGTTTTTAGCTATTATTTGTGATCACTTTTTAAGTCATGAATTGGTTCATATTTTAAATGGCCATAACGCCATAAATCTTGAGTTTTCGGCGTTTTTAGCTATTATTTGTGATCACTTTTCAAAGCATGAATTATTAAATATTTTAAAATGGCCATAACTTCTTAAATATTGAGTTTTCGGCATTTTTAGCTATTATTTGTGATCACTTTTTAAAGCATTAATTATTAAATATTTTAAAATGCCCATAACTCCTTAGATATTGAATTTTCGGCGTTTTTAGCTATTATTTGTGATCACTTTTCAAAGCATGGATTATTAAATATTTTAAAATGGCCATAACTCCTTAAATATTGAGTTTTCGGCGTTTTTAGCTATTATTTGTGATCACTTTTTAAAGCATGAATTGGTTCATATTTTAAAATGGCCATAACTCCTTAAATATTGAGTTCTCCGCGTTTTTAGCTATTATTTGTGATCACTTTTTAAAGCATGAATTGGTTCATATTTTAAAATGGCCATAACTCCTTAAATATTGAGTTCTCCGCGTTTTTAGCTATTATTTGTGATCACTTTTTAAGGCATAAATTGATTCATATTTTAAAATGGCCATAACTCCTTAAGTATTGAGTTTTCGGCGTTTTTAGCTATTATTTGTGATCACTTTTTAAGGCATAAATTGATTCATATTTTAAAATGGCCATAACTCCTTAAATATTGAGTTTTCGACGTTTTTAGCTATTATTTGTGATCACTTTTTAAAGCATGGATTATTAAATATTTTAAAATGGCCATAACTCCTTAAATATTGAGTTTTCGGCGTTTTTAGCTATTATTTGTGATCACTTTTTAAAGCATGAATTATTAAATATTTTAAAATGGCCATAACTCCTTAAATATTGAGTTTTCGGCGTTTTTAGATATTATTTGTGATCACTTTTTAAAGCATGGATTGGTTCATATTTTAAAATGGCCATAACTCCTTAAATATTGAGTTTTCGGCGTTTTTAGCTATTATTTGTGATCACTTTTTAAGGCATGAATTGGATCATATTTTAAAATGGCCATAACTCCTTAAATATTGCGTTTTCGCCGTTTTTAGCTATTATTTGTGATCACTTTTTAAAAAGGCCAATTTCATCGGTCCATGAAAAAAATACTTCTTTAAAAAAATTTGCGTTTGTTGTTCCTTGAAAAAAAGTCTACATAAAAAACCCTATTTTGTTGGACCTTGGAAAGAAGTCTTCATCGAAAAATCCCAATTGTTGGTCCTTGAAAAAAAGTCCCTTAAAAAATATTTTTTCTCGAATATTTTATAAAAATAGTTCTTTTCTCTTTTTATTTCCTTCTTAAACATGTACTGGTACATAAATTGATATCAAAATATTGCCGAACGACAGCGTCTTAAAACGGACGCTCCCAATTCGCTTAATTTTGATGATTGGGCCCCACCAAAGCCATGATTTAGACTTTCCGGAGGTTTGGTCCATTTGACGAAATAGGTTTTATAGACGACTGCTTGAATTTTTGGTTTTGCTTTTTTGGTCCGGCGATATTTACTACGGAATGGCAGGAGGAGCCAGAGGAAACGATTGCCACGACGGGGAGTGGTATTTTTACGGCAATTCTGGAGAGTCCATTGTTTGGGGTCACCATTATCGGCTATCAGAGACCCCGAGTTGTGCAATAAAATTTGATTGTGCACCGAGGAAGACATTATCTTGGAACCGGAAATAGTTGCTATATCGGGTACTCTATTGTTCTGATCCTTCAAAGGAGTCTGAGTGGATTTCTCCGCAGATTTTTCCCTCTCCTCTTCACTTTTCACCATGATGATGCCCTGGGCCAAGGCGGGTGTCTTTCGTATGGTTGTCTTGCTTTCATAGATTTCAATATCATCCGTTTTGGAACCCCAACAGGAATTTACATTGAGACAATGTAGGGATTTGGAACTTTTACTGTCCGCCCTGCCCTTATCCTCCTCCTCAACAATGACATCCAAATGATCCGATGACTCACCACCCCGGATGGGTGCAATTTTCCTTAGGCGTTGAGGTCTTTTACGCCAGTAATTCATTGATATGCCTTTATTTTTGTGGTCCGCCATAGTGGTGTTGGAGCCTTGACATCCCTTAGAACCCTCTCGAATAATTTCTCCTCCAACCTCTCGCTGGGTTGGCATTTTCACCAATATATAATGATCATTAACCAGACATATTTCGGACACCGTCTTGGGGGCAATATCCTGTGTGGCTGTTGTTTTTGTTGCCTCAAAAAACTCATTAACCTGACCCTCTTGGTAGATACGATAATCGGGGGGTGGCCCATCAAAAATGTCATCATAAAATACCGCCTCCTCTGCCACACCACAATTTTGCTGGGTTCTGCTCAATGGTCGTGCCACCACTACTTCGTCGTCATTGCCCTCAGCTGAGACCACAACAGGTGTCTGTTTTTTCAACAGCTTTGTTTTGCCGTTAGTCACGTGGCCGTCGGCACCTCCACCGCCACCACCGCTCTTTGTTGTTATCGATTTTCCTTCAGGCCATTGTTTTTCCTGACCCTGGTGGTGATGGCTTTTACTTTTTAATGTTGTCTTCTGTTGCTGCTTCTTCTGCTGTTGTTCCTGATTTCCCCTTTGTTTTGGTGACAGTTGGTATTCCGTTGCCATTGGACAAGATATTATCGCGCGCCAGTCTGAAACAACAACAAGAACAACAATGGGAAATTAAAAATACATAAATTGAAAATTACATTTTTATTGTTGTTTTTGTTTTGTTTTGATTAACATATCGATAATTTAATGTGTTTCTAATAAAGGGTTGCCATGTGTTCACATATGTTTTTGTTTTGTCAAGGACCAAAGAAGTTGTATTTTTAGAATAGCTATCAATGACTAGAAGAGCTTGAAGTTTTTAAGTATATTTTTAGGGGAAATTAGAAATTAGAGGGATATCAAGATATATTTTCCCAGGACCAACAAAAGAGAAATTTGTAGAGAATATTTTTTCCTAGGACCAAAAATCCTGGATTTTTTTCAAAAGAAAATATTTTCAACAACCAAATTTTTTTCAAGCACCAACAAACGTAGATTGATTAAGGAAGACTATTATCGAAGGATAATAAAATCTGAATTTTTTCCGAGAATTTCTTAAAGGAGACTTTTTTCAAGGACCAACAAAATCGGGTGTTTTTAAGAAGACTTTTTTCGGGGACCAACAAACGTGGTTTGTTCAAAAAAGACTTTTGCCAAGGACCAACACACCCGGATTTTTTAAAGAAGAATTTTTTGCAAGGACCAGCAAACGTGGATTTTTCATAATAGACATTTTTCTAAGGACCAACAAACTAAAATTTTATAAAAAAAAAGTCCTCTTTTTAAGATTTTTTAAAGAAAATTTTTTCCAAGGACCAACAAAAAGGAGTTTTTTAAGAAGAGTTTTTTCAAGGACCAGAAAACGCGGATTTTTCATAAAATCGATTTTTAAAGGACCAGCAAACGAGGATTTTTTAAAAAGAAAATAAATTTTTCCAAGGACCTTTGTTAAATGTTAATTTAGGTATTTAAAAAGTCTTTTTTTAAGGACCAACAAACGTGTTTTTTTCTTAAAGAAGACCTCTTTTTAGGGACAAAAAAATGGTGGGTTTTTAAAAAGACTTTTTTCGAGGATTTCTTAATAGTTTTCCGAAGTACCTACAAAGAAAGAAGACTTCTTTCCAAGGACAACTAGATTTTAAAAAGAACATTTTTTTAACATGGAAAATAAAGATTTTTAACAGATATAGATATCTTAAAAGAATAATTTTGTAAGGACCAAAAACGTAATTTATTATAGAGGGCTTCTTATCCAAGGACCAACAAATGTGGATTTTTTAAACAACATTTTTTGTGGATTTTCGAAAGAATACTTTTCCAAGGACCCACAAAATGTAAAAGCAATATTTTTTGTGAATTTTCGAAAGAATTTTTTCCCAAGGACTAAGACTTAGGGATTTAAAAATGATACATTTTTCATTCAAGGATAAATTTTGAAAACAACATTTTTTCATCGCCCAAAAATCTGGATTCTTACAAAATATTTATTGCAAGGAGCAAAAGATTAAAGAATATTTTATTATATCTTCTTTGTAAGATATAATTATATTATAAGAATATATATCTTCAAGGACCAAACATTCATTTTTAGGGATCTCTTACTAAAGGGCAAACCTTTTTAAAAAAGTGGTTTTTTTAAGAATAATTTTTGAAGGACTTTTAGATTCAGAAACGTGGATTTTTTAAAGATAATTTTTAACGGACTTTCAGATTCAGAAACGTGCAGTTTTTAAGGATAATTTTTGAGGGACTTTCAAATTCAGAAAAGTGAATTTTTTAAGGATAATTTCTTAAGGGACTTTCAGATTCAAAAACGTGAAGTTTTTAAGGATAATTTTTGAGGAACTTTTAGATTCAGAAACGTTGTTTTTTTAAGGACAATTTTTTCAGTTTAGAAAACTTAGATTTTTTGGGGGTACTTTCAAACTCAGAAACTTGGAGTTTTTAAGGATAATATTTGAGGAACTTTCAGATTCAGAAACGAGGAATTTTTGAGGGACTTGCAGATTTCGCAACATGGTTTTTTAATGAAATTTTTTGAGGGGCAATACTATCAGATTCAGAAACGTGGTTTTTTAGGGATGGTTGTCTTTGAGCTACATTAGATTCAGTAACGAGGATAATTTTTGAGTGACTTTTAGGTTCAGAAACGTAATTTTTTACGAATAATTTTTGAGGTCCTTTCGGATTCAGAAACGTGGATTTGTTAAGAATAATTTTGTAAGGGACCTTCAGATTCAGAAACGTGGATTTTTAAGGATATTTTTTGAGGGATGAATCATAGGCCTCAAATGGTTGTAAATCCTCGTAATGGTGTACAAGGTTGTCGAACGAACTAGCCTCTGAGAAATATGTAACATTGGCTCCCCAACTGTTTGTTTTGGCGCCACTTCAGCTTGGAATTAAAAAAAATATAAGTAAGAGTTCTGTAGTGCCAAAATTTGAGTTCCCTAAAGTGGACTTATATCTCTGGAGCTGTTTAACCTGGAACACTTTCGGATTCTTTAATATGCTGGCTTCATGAGGGATTCTTATGTTGCGGATAATTGTACGATAATGGCGTCAGGTCCTACTATTGATGGCATACACCAGCCTTTTATCTGAAAAACATGAAATTGAGCCTCGGGCGAAAGCTAAAATTCAAAGCGAAAGCTATCTTAAAATAATAAGAATGAAGTTTGATAGTCGTCAGGGATAAAATCAAAAGTAGGAACAAGGAGCTAACGTTGGCTGTTTGTTTGGGCGCCACTTGAACATGGACTTTAAAAAATAAGTAAAATTTTTGTATAGTGTATGAAAGGGAGTTGCCTAAGATGGGGTTATATCTTTGGAGCTATTTAACCTCCGACTCTATCAGAACTTTAAATAAGCTGACTTTAAAAGGGGTCCTTATGTAGCGGAGAATTGTTCAATTATGGCCTACCTGCTGTCTGAGAAACATGAAATTAAGCCTCCGCTGAAATTCTATAATTCAAAACCAGTAAGGAAAGCTCAAAAGTCGGGCGGGGCCGACTATATGAAACCCTACACCACTATGCATATTTAGTAGAGCTCTCGTAAAAAGGTTTATACAGGGCATTTCAGAGCTCTATGAGATATTTGGTACAAAATCAAAATCTATCTAATTCTATCGTGCATTTTACGAACTATAGCTATCTCTGAACCGGGTTTCTCCAAATTTTACGTATTAGCTTCTAGACTGGTGATTTGGGCTGATATTGACCATTTAGTGCACATTTAACCCGAAATCGGATGAAGATATATATGAGAGCTATATCCAAATCTGAACCGATTTCGATAAAATTTAAAACCGCTATTCCTGTGCTCCATCTAATTCCTGGTACCAAATATCACGGTTGTGGAGTGAATATTACGAATGTATGGGACTAAAACACTAAATCGGATGAAACATATATATGGTTGCTATATCTATATCTGAACCGATTTTCACTAAATTTGATATACTTGCTTCTAGGCTGAATTTGGTCCGACGTACTAAAATTCAGTCCATTTGGACTTATATCGGCCATTTGGTGCACAATTAACCCGAAATCGGATGAAGATATATATGGGAGCCATATCCAAATCTGAACCGATTTCGATAAAATTACAAACAGCTATTTCTGGGCTGTATCTGATCAAATATCATTCTTGTGGAGTGCATATTACGAATGTGAGAGGCTTAAACACCAAATCGGATGAAAGATATATATGGGAGCTATAGCTATATCTGAACCGATTTTCTCCAAATTTGATATACTTGCTTCTAGGCCAAACTCGGTTGGGTGTGCCAAAATTCAGGTAATTTGGACTGATAGTGGACATTTGGTGCACATTAAACCCGAAATCGGATGAAGATATATATGGGAGCTATAGCTGTTTCTGAACCGATTTTCTCCAAATTTGTTGTATTTGCTTTGAGGCTAATCTCGGTCACATGTGCCAAAATTCGGGCCATTTGGGCTGATATTGGTCATTTGTTGGTCAATTAACCCGAAATCGGATGAAGATATATATGGGAGCTATATCCAAATCTGAACCGATTTCGATAAAATTTAAAACAGCTATTTCTGGGCTGTATCTTATATCTGGTACCAAATATCATTCTTGTGGAGTGCATATTACGAATGTGAGAGGCTTAAACACCAAATCGGATGAAAGATATATATGGGAGCTATAGCTATATCTGAACCGATTTTCTCCAAATTTGATATACTTGCTTCTAGGCCAAACTCGGTTGGGTGTGCCAAGATTCAGGTAATTTGGACTGATAGTGGACATTTGGTGCACATTTAACCCGAAATCGGATGAAGATATATATGGGAGCTATAGCTGTTTCTGAACCGATTTTCTCCAAATTTGTTGTATTTGCTTTGAGGCTAATCTCGGTCACATGTGCCAAAATTCGGGCCATTTGGGCTGATATTGGTCATTTGTTGGTCAATTAACCAGAAATCGGATGAAGATATATATGGGAGCTATATCCAAATCTGAACCGATTTCGATAAAATTTAAAACAGCTATTTCTGTGCTCCATCTAATACCTGGTACCAAATATCACGGTTGTGGAGTGCATAGTAGGAATGTGAGGGACTTAAAGATCAAATCGGATGAAAGATATATATGGGAGCTATAGCTATATCTGAACCGATTTTCTCCAAATTTGATATACTTGCTTCTAGGCCGAACTCGGTTGGGTGTGCTAAAATTCAGGTAATTTGGACTGATAGTGGATATTTGGTGCACATTTAACCCGAAATCGGATGAAGATATATATGGGAGCTATATCTAAATTTGATCCGATTCTCACCAATTTCAATAGGGTTCGTCCTTGGGCCAAAAAAATATTGTTTGGAAAATTTCATCTCAATCGGATAATAAATGCGACCTGCATTTTGTTCAGAAGAATACATGGACAGACGGACGGACGGACGGACGGACGGACGGATGGACGGACAGACGGACTGACATGCATAAATCGACTCAGAAAGTGATTCTATGAAGGTTCTCAAAAGTAACTGTGGGTCTATCTCGTTTCCTTCTCCATGTTACAAACAAATGCACAAAGACATAATACCCTTACCACTATGTGGTGTAGGGTATAATTAAATCTACCCAAAAATAATGAGAGTAAGAAACCCTTGTGATATGCTATGTCCTCATTTAACTCTACGATTTTATCTTCACGCCAGTGTGAGGCAAGAGATTTTATAAGTGACCTAGACCCTCGCAATAAATTAAATGAGAGGACATTTTTTAAGATCTGTACCGAACCGCCTTTCTACATAATAAGTACTCAAAACTCCAACATTTGCCGAAACATGGCGGATGCAAAAAAATTGCTTGAATTCGGAGTTATCCTTAAGTAGGCAGGTTAAGTTCGTTAATGGGCCATGTAGGTCCACGTTTACATATAGCCACCATATAAAGGTACCTCCCAATATTCGGTATTTTGATGATTTTAGCGGCATTATTAACCGGACTAGTTTAAAATTTGGTATTTGAAGTTCGTAATGGATACTACATCCTGTGACAGAAAAGTGTCTCTGCAGGTCTACGTCTTCGTATAGCGCCCATATATCGGTACCTCCCAATATTCGGTATTTTGATGATTTTAGCGGCATTATTAACCGGACTAGTTTAAAATTTGGTATTTGAAGTTCGTAATGGATACTACATCCTGTGACAGAAAAGTGTCTCTGCAGGTCTACGTCTTCGTATAGCGCCCATATATCGGTACCTCCCAATATTCGGTATTTTGATGATTTTAGCGTCATTATTCACCGGAACTGTTTCAAATTTGGTGTTTAGAGTTCGTAATGGATACTACGGTCTATGACAGAAAATTGTCTATGCAGGTCCACGTCTTCGTATAGGCTCCATATATCAGTACCTCCCTATATTCGGTATTTTGACGAGTTTAGCTACAATACCCACCGATATTGTTTGAGATGTCGTATTTAAACTTCGTAATGGATGCTACAGCCACTGACAGAAAATTGTCTGGCTGGTCCAGGTCTTCACACAGCTCCCATATAACGGTACCTCCCTTAATACGACATTTTCATGATTTTAGCTACATTATTCACCGTATATTTCAAGTTATCGAATTTGAATATGGTAATAGCTTATGACAAACAATGCCTTTGTAGGTCCACATCGTATAGACCCCATTAAAACGGCTATATTCGGTATTTTTAAAATTTAAACAGATTTTTTTATGGATTTTTGTTTTTTTTTTTTTTTGAAAATTTACAAATTAGTTTCAATGTTCGGCCCGACCGAACTTACTGTTTTTTAACTTGTTTCCTATCTGATTTCATCTTACCCTTCCAACTCGTACTGCTACAATTCCTCTTTCTTAGGGCCGGTCATTTCTCAACATCTTCGATGAACAACTCCCTGATTGCATTTCGTATGGCTTGTTGTCTTGTTTTGTTTTTCTCTATTTGTTTACACTTATTGAACACATTAATTATGTTTACATATTGCCAAGGACTTCTTTAAGGAAAGTTCCTTACACACACCTGAACCCCAATTGTATTTCTTTTCAAGAACATATAAATGAATAAAAGTTTTGTTTTTTTCTGTTTCTTTGTTTTGTTTTTTTCAAATGGCGAACTTTTTAAAAACAACAGCAACAACAACACTATATCGACAATAACTTTTGTTTGTTATTGATGGTAAACACGATAAACCGTCAACCGTCGTCCTGGCCGCTAGGACGATGCCATTCTAAATAAATGGAAAATGGAATTAAATTCAACTTCAACCGTCAACCATCTACAGACCCGAACGAGAACGTGTTTGTCGTCGTCTTCTGGCAAATCAGCTAACAAAATCGGCCCGTATCAGCGTAACGTCATCTCTTCGTATAGCGACGACGTTGACGACTAAACAAAAAAACAAAACAAATTGAATGGTTTCATTGAAATGACTGAATGGCTGGATGGCTGGCGAATCAACCAAAAAGGGCTGCTTCCATGTATGAAGTGAGAAAACAGTGCATACTATATATTTTGAAGCATGCTTTTAGGCAGCTAACAAATTTCAGAAAACAATTGAAGAAAAAGAGTTGCCAGCCAATTGTGGAAGTCAAAGGGATACCAATTTGATTACTTCACACAAAGTCAAGTGGAAAAAGAGATTTTACCCCAGTTTTAAAAATATATATTCAAAGAAATGTTGATTTTAGGAGACAATTGTTTGACAGATATAGAGGGGGAGAGAGAGTGGTTTTAACGACCGTTTCTTAGTAAAAGTTCGATTCAAACAAATATTGTTTAAAGATTCGTTTTTACAAAAAAAAAAAAAAAAAAAAAAAAACAAGTAAAAATCAGCTAAGTACAGAAGCAGCTACGTTTGACCGGCCCGAACTTTTTATATCCTCCACTATTTTGAAGGATCTTGAATAATTTCAAAAATATCCAACGAAAAATGCCACTTTAATGAAAACCGTAACATTAGGGATATACGACGACGCGGATCTGCATAAGTAATTTTTATACCCTCCACCATAGTATGGAGGGTATATTAAGTTTGTCATTCCGTTTGCAACACCTCGAAATATAAATTTTAGAACCCACAAAGTATATATATTCTTGATCAGCATAAAATTCTATATCGATTTAGCGATGTCCGTCCGTCTGTGGAAATCACTCTAGCTTCCGAACGAAATGAAGTAGGTTGATAAAATTTTACACAAATTTGTATTATGTCTGCAGGACTTTTGGTATTGAAAATGGGTGATGTAGGTCCACGTTTTGGTATAGCCCCCATATAACAGTACCTCCCGATATTTGGTATTTTGATGATTTCAGCGACATTATTCACCCGGAAATGTTTCATATTTGGTATTTAAAATTCGTTACGGATACTACAGCCTAAGACAGAAAATGGGCCATGTAGGTCCACGTCTTCGTTTAGCCCCCATATAAAGGTACCTCCCGATGTTTGGTATTTTGATGATTTTAGCGACATTATTTACCGGAATTATTTCAAATTTGGTGTTTGAAGTTCGTAATGGATACAACTGCCTATGGCAGAAAATTGTCTGTGCAGGTCCACGTCCTTAAATCGGATTAAGGATATATATGGGAGCTATATCCAAATCTTAGCCGTACTCGATTAAATTTGTGCAAAGGTATTTCCGAGCTCTATAAGATATCAGATACCAAATATAATATCAATGCTGTCGAATGCATATCATCCAAATGTTATGTACTTGCTTCTAGACTGAATTTTGCGGGATGCACTATGATTCAGGTAATTTGGACTTATATTTACCATTTGGTGAATAATTAAACCGAAATGGGTTGAAGATACCGGGTGAGATGAAAAAACTGCACCCAGCTCTGACTGTTGTCATTTCTAAGCCACTCGTCCGACAGCTGTTAAAATTATTCCAGTGACAGTGTGATTTCTTTATATTTGGCTGGAAAACCGCAATTGGTTATCGTTAGGGCACTCCAGCATTTAAATGTGAATAAATCTTTTGTGTCTCCTGCCATCGCTCGTTACCGTGATACTGGTAGCGTAGCTCGACGTCAAGGAAGTGGAAGTGGACGGAAGGAAATAGCAACATCAGCAATCAGCAGAAATGGTTCGAAAAGTAAAGAAGCGACTTGATCGAAACCCGCGTCACAGTGGCCGAAAAATGCCACGTGAGCTGAATATATAGCAATATTTCATTCGGCATATATTTAAAAATGAGCTCGGGGTAAAGTCATTGAAATTCCAAAAAGTGCAAGAACTTACATCGCAACAGAAAGAAAATAGACTCAAAAGAGCTAAGGAGTAGCTTCGCTTGTCCGAAAGTGGTGAACTGCCGAATTTGGTTTTCTTCGATCTCTGATGAGAAAACATTCGTTGTCCACCAAAGCAGTTTGTAAACAAACAAAATGATGGTGTTTACTTGCCAAAGAGGTCAGCTGAAAATGTGCACCTTCGGCTGGCCACCAGAACTCAAACGCCGGCCATGGTGATGGAGTCGGCCGCCACAACAGCCGATGGTCGCTCTCCGCTCGTATTAATCGACCGTGGCATTAGAATAAATGCCGAATATTATAGCGAAAATATTCTGGAGTGTGTATTAAAGCCTTGGGCACGCAAACATTTTGGCCGCAGATCTTGGACATTCCAACAGGTCTCAGCACCATCGCACTCAGCACGCGCCACCCAAGAATGTTTACAAAATGAGGTTCCTCGCTTCATTTCCAGCCCACAATGGCCACCAAAATCGCCGGATACCAATCCGTTGGACTATTGTGTCTGGAGTATTTTGGAAAGCATGGTTGGCACAAAAAAAATACCAAAGTGTCGATCACCTCAAGCAAGCGCTTCGCCGGGAATGGGCCAAAATACCGCAGAGCAATATTCGGCAGCGTGTGACGGTTTAAAGGCCGATTCGAACAAATCTAAACTTATTCTAAAATTTGATGCTATTTCCGACATTTTTTGCATTGATTCAACAAAATTAAAAAAAAATGTTAAAATTATGGCGCTTGACTTTGTTACAGTTTTTTTATCCCCACCCTGTGTGTGGGAGCTATAGCTTTATATAAGAACCGATTTTCACCAAATTTGTTGTACTTGCTTCTAGACTGAATTCTGTTGAATGTGCCTAAATTCGGGGCATTTGGACTGATATTGTCTATTTGGTCTTAATAAAATTTGACAGAGGTATTTTCGAGCAGTATTTGATGACCGGTACCAAATATTATTCTTGTGGAATGCATATTACGCATGTGAAGGGCTTAAAACCGCAAATCGGATGAAACATGTAAATGGGAGCTTTAGCTATATCTAAACCGATAGTCACCAAATTTGATGTTCTTGCTTCTATACTCAATTTGGTGGGATGTACCAAAATTCAGGTCATTTGGACTTATATTGGCTTTTTAGTGCACAATTAACCCGAAATTGGTTGAAGATATATGGGTGCTTTATCTAAATGTGATCCGACTATCACTCATTTCAATAGGGTTCGTCCTTTGGCCAAACACATATTGTGTGGAAAATTTCATTTCAATCGGATAATAAATGCGACCTGCATTTTGTTCACACGGATACATGGACTGACGGACTGACATTCATAAATCGACTCAGAAAGTGATTCTATAAAGATCCTCAAAAGTGACTATGGGTCTATCTCGCTTCCTATGTGGTGTAGGGAATAAAAAGTGGGGCTGAGGCACTCCTCTAAGACCTGTAAACGAATAGTGGAGCTTGTAAACAAGCTAGAAGAAGAAGGTCTTAGAAGCCCGAGAGCCACCTTGAAATAATACGAGAGTGGTGCCGAGGTGGTAGCAACTCCCAAAGGTTAACATGTGAATTTTTAGTCGGTATCAAGAGCGAGCATTTTTCCCAACTGCTACACAAAAAAAAAATTAAATTTATAATTATATTTTTTTATAACTATTTAATATAATAATTATTATATTTTTCTACAATTATTATAACAATAAGTAAATTTTCTTCAGACGACTATGCCAATGCCACCATTACCATACCTGATTCCCTTTTATATGTGTGTATGTTTTTTTGTATAATAAGTATGTAAAGTATCACCCGAATACTAAAAATACATACCTTTCCCCCTTCCCACAAACAACCACAGCAGGGGTATCTCTTTAATTTCAATGGATCTCATAGATAATTATCACACCAGGACATACATACCCAAACATTATTTGAATACAATTCCAGTCTCGTGTCTGATTTTTGTGCACCAAACCACCAACGACAAAACTTTCATGGAAAATTGCCATGAAAAAAATGGAGAAAATCAATCGCTTATTTTGAGGGGCAGGGCATTCGAAATCAATGACTACCGATGACGGTTATTTCAATCAAATCGTGTCAAATATTGCTGATAATTATTATTATTGTTGTTATTGCTGTTGTTTTTTTTTTTTTTTTTGAGTTGTAGCACTTGTTATGTGCTGACTGACTGACTGACTGGCTGTGACTGTTCGATTAAACGCCCTTCAAAATATTCAGTGAAAATGAAAGAAAATCTATAATTATTTATTTACGGTCCTGGAGCGTACATGCAAATGTAAATAAACAAAAAATGTTGAAGTTTTGGTAAAATGAGTTTTTTTGAGTGGGTGTGAGGTGTAGTGTGAGTGTGAGGAAATTTGGATATTAGATAAGAGTTGCCAAAGGTTGGCATAAAAAACCGTCAACAATCTAAATGGAATTTTTTTAATTATTTTTATTCTTGAACAGAGAGAAATGTCTGGGAGAGAGGTAAAGGTCAAAACTCTACAAATACAAAACCCATAAATAAATGGAAACGAGTTATCTAATCAGAAAGCAATCTCAAAAAGGTGTCCTTCCAAAATAATTGGTGCTAATGGACAAACCTCCTAACAAAATGCGATGCAAGTGTTAAATTTCTAAAAAAAAGGGTTCTCCATAAAAAAGACTCAAAGTAACATCCTTTCTAAAACCGTGCGATCCAAAGAGCATCCATACAAAAATAAATGATTCTAAAGAATACACTTTCTTCAAAAAATGTGCAACAAGGCAACCTTTTAAAGGGCCAATGTTCTACGAAGCATCTTGTATAAGTTCGATATTTTGGTTACGCCAAGGTGTATGTTCAATGCATTGTCTCCCCATCCCCAACATTCCAATTACTCCTATTAATTTCCCTCTCAGTCGGATTCAATGGGGAAATCTTCTCTGCCCTCAGGGAAGAGTTTGTGCTCTTTCCAGCACTTTTTCCTAAAAGTCAAATTAGCTCAGTTTGGTTGCAGAAAGTCAGTTCCAGTGCAATGGAAGTGTAAACACAACATTTTCTAAGATAAGAGACCAAAGGAATACAATTTTCTTAAAACCAGTTCTAACGAGAGCTTCATTTTAAAATGTGTTTCTTAAAGAGCACACTTTGCCTTAGAGAGGTTAGTCGCCTTTATGATAACTAAAACGCAGGATTTCTAATAGAAAGAATTTTAAATTTTAGCCTGGCTAAAAAAATTGTT